GTAGTCTAATATTCCTTCCGTGTTTAATAGGATAGGCTGTAACTAATCATAGCTGGAATGTTACGCTATTAAGTGCGTAATCTGCTATTTCAAAAAGACGGAAGGAAATTCTGATACGAACCTGGTTTTTTACGCGTGTCTGTGTTACACAATGACTTCGTTAACAATAAAACTAATTTTTTTTTTATTCTTTAGTACTAAACAGTTACATTAGTTTTAATAAATACAGAATTCTTATGAAATGTCTTTATTTAGGACCAGGAAAAATCCCTTATCGATTTCAAAATAAATAATTGATCGTAATTATAAATAAAAAATTTTGTGTCCGATGTCACTAATATGACATAGTTGATTAAAATTTCAACTCGTGCAACGGTGCAGTCGTTACAAGTGTTAGAATAGTGGATTAAAATTAAACCGGAAAGACAAGTCAAATAAAAATTCTTAAAGATGTTTATTTATTAGGAAAAAAAATACATAATTGAAACGTTTTTATTTGAGTTTAGCTATCTCGGTAAGGAACAGCAATTATTAAGCACGGAGGTGGCAACAGTAAAATATCATGGTGTGATTACATCATACCGGGTGCCGCTGACCTTTTGATGTATGTTTAGTCTTTTTTGCTGTTTTCTAATATTAATTGAGTTTTCGTGTAATTATGTGGGCACATATTTTTGCTTTAAGGTAAATGAACTTATATATATTAAGGTGGCCAACTGCTGACCTGGAATGACCTGGGGTTTACCGCGAATAAACAAATACGAGGATGTAATTTGTTGGACATTACTATCACGAAGCTTGATTCTTGATTTGTTTTACTCGGGCCGAACGATTAACGAACGAATTGTTTACACGATCCGACCGAATGTAAATTAAATATATTTATTTAACTTTATTCAACTCTACTTCGATAAAACTTGATTTAACTATTAGGTAATTTGAGTTTGGCACAAATAAAACGGAGCAATGAGCTTCTATAGAATTCGACCATTAATATATAAATTTGAAAATTTTGATTTAGCCGTGTTAATTAGAAAGACACATACATAAATTTAAAGGTAACCCTGCTAGGAAGGCAAAGATTATCTGTGCAGGCTTCGACTCATACCATTAACTTTAGGAAAAGTGAGATTGTTAACCTAGGACAAACATGGCCATGTTCCAACAGAGGTTAGAAAAAATCCAGTGAATGGTAGAAAACAGTCAAGTAGAAGAACCTTTGTATATTTGCAATCTTCTTGCAGTATATTGGAATTGGTTCCAACTCACAAAGATATCATATATGATATATAAACAGACAAACATAAAAAATAATAACTTCCTCTTTCTTGATGTCCCTTAAAAAGTGTTGCACACAATGAGAAGGCTAGAAAACAAACATATAGTGATAGAATGGGAATTACGAAATTGAGAAGAACTAATGGTTATTGAATAAAAAGATAAAAAGATAGCGTGTATAGAAGTATATTCAGATGCCGCTCATAATTGTTACGAAGTATTGTTGCATGCATGTTACTTGTGATTACATATCTTGGTGAGAATATTTTCAATCGGCTGCCAAAAGCAAGAGGTTTTCAATTCCATATTCCAGTACATTATTGCGTGTTGGCGCCAACAGTTAACAGTATTTAATAGTTAGATTGATTTTTTAGTTTAATAGACTGATAACCCTCTGAGGGATAGTCCAAACTAATCACACTGTGGACACCAAGCGATGGGCATTTATATAGTGGTAGACTAAATGATGACATATTTGGATTAATGATTTGGACCACTGTACATACTGGTAAGAATTAAGCACAGTTTAGAGATGTTTAGAGGTGGTGAAGATAATGGCGCTCTACAGAGTAGTGAGAAACTAATTAGGCTTAAAAAATTGTTTTGTATCATAAAAATAGTATGACATATTGTTATTGTTTCTGTGAAATACAATACAACTTGTATTATATTATCCTAAATATATGTACCTATATATGATTAATTCTTTGTCTTGAAATCTGGTAGATATAATAATACCTACGCAAATTTTAGATGTAAAGTAAGATAAAATAAAAATAGGTTTATTCATTCCAGTGTTCCATTCCATTCCTTATGTAATGCCAAAGTCACGTAGTCAAGTAACTGAACAAACTCACGTTCGTATTAACAATTTTAGTATAATACATAAAAATACTAATAATGAGTAGGTATAAGTTTTATCTATAATAATCACACTTATTTTTTAGGGCATGAAGCTGTTTTGCAATGCTCACATTAGTCACATTGATGCATATAATTAACCTATCTGGTTGCATTTACTGTATTTTCTCATCACATGCCGGACATACCTGTTATAGTTATCTGAACAATGCATTACAATAGTTATAATTAACAAATGCTTCTATGATATAAACGAATTTTAAAACTGTCGAATTACATGTAGGTTTATTTTAAAAAGGTGTACCCAGAATCTAGTGAAATTAAGCTACAAAAATTACAAAACTAATTTATGTCGAAATAATGTAGTTCAAATATGAAAATATGCTTAGAATGTTTTATAATAGTAACCACATATTTCATGGTTTCTTTTTGTTTTCAATTAGTAATATTATGTTATCTGTGGTAAAGGTCATATACTAAAGTGGTGGATAATGGTTTAAAAATCATGGAATAAATCGAACTCAATAATAATATTATACAATTAAGAAATTTGTCCAACTTTCCAAAATCTTCAGCTGGCATTAGCTTTAAATTAAAGTTATTTAAAAAATGGATTTAACTTAGAGACATTGTTTTCAAATAAGATATATGTTGAATATTAAAGAAACTACTACGTTACGAAGGTTACTAATTTTGTTACATGAGGAATTTACAAACTGCACAACGATTTATCATCTATATATCAGGAAAAGGAAAAGTAAGAAATGTTACATAATTACAGATGATTAATACAATTTGCAATAGATAGTAAGTACATTTACACACACACTGCATCTTAAATAGATTTCTCTTGCATTCAGTCGACGGCCGTGTCACCCGTATGATTGTATCTAATGACAATTATCATTCGGTTGGTATTCAATTCGTAATATTACTTATTCTTGATTATATAGTATATATATATTATTCTACTGGCATCTAGTCAGTCATGATAATAAGAGAAATAAGAAAACAAGTTTTGTTGAGTTGACCCGAAGCTCCTATTTGGACACTCAGAGCGGTTAATGATGATGAAGATGTGATCCATGCAGAGTGGCAGAGTGGTCCCATCATCCCACGTCGATCCGGCTCATTCACTGAAGACCCAAGGTCAGCGTGCGGATGTTTACTACAGTGCTCCCTCACCGCGCCGGCAATTAATCGCGGTTTCAAAAAACACATTGCAAGGTTTTAGTCGGTCAGAATCCCACAGCATCCATCTGCACCCCGTCATGAAGGCGGGCGGTTCTGTGTGAACTTTACTTCGGACTCATGCCAAAGACTATTATAATCGAAAACGAATAGTTTATTGAATATAATTGCAATATATTATTTTTAGTTAGAGGGGTTTACTGCTTATGAAGTTGCACAAAGATATAAAATACCTTTTAAAAAGTACTTTATACTCAAATCGAGACGAGTCATTAACATTGTAATCGATATTACAGTTGTAGGTAATCTCTATGTAAAGTGACTATAAAATCTTGTAATAAAATATAATATATTTGACCTTGGTATTTGTCAAACAATATTCCACCAATAACGAATTACATACATCAAGCAGCACATTGTTTGAGTAAGTTATCACATTACCTCAAAAAATAGACATGTGTTTTACAATTTAGTAACTACAAATCATTTAACAAAAGTTAGCAGCATAATACCTACTGATAAATGATTTGTTCAAAATAATTGGATGAAAATTGAAACAATGTTCTTTAGCTTTGATATAACAAGAATGATATTTGATAAGATTACATGTTTTGTACGGCGGAATTGCACTATTATCAATGAATAAAACACTGGCTGGGAACCAGTGGAAGCTGACAAAATTAGGATAAGGTCATGTCAGTTGCACATTAAAGCAAATTCACCAAAAAATTATATCGATGGTTTCCAGGGTAAACCGCATAGAAGTCGACCGCGAAATATTATTATAAGATGAGAATAAATCCTTTCAATGAAAATAGTGGTAATTCAAATTTGTCCATATGGATATTTCTCTTAGTACATTCAAAAATACAATAGAACAAGAACCCCCTTTTAATGTCAATCGACAATAACATTCACTGGCAGACTGCTCACATTGAACTGGACACCAGGCCAGACGTCAGCCATAAAGCCCGGATTGGATATCAGATCAGATTCCGCAGACGTGTTTTTCGCCGTACACGGTGAATCGATTGCCATTGCAAAATACTTAGCATTGATATACCATTGTATTTAAGTAAATAGATATTATTGTAGAGGAAAGTTTCAAAGTAGTAACTATGCTATTTATCTACATGGTGCATAGTTTCTTTACATACAAGCCTGCAATATTATAAGCTAAGTTGTTTACGATCTAAACATGTTGTTGCTATTATTTTATACGAGTTTAAATAAATTCTTTAAAATAAAAATAACCTAGTAAATGTAGCCAATATTAATAAGAGAAGAACGTAAAACGAAAAAACAAATATATTATTCTCAATCTGCCGTATCCGATCCGATACATAATTATTTTTCTTTTTTAACCCACAAATAAAAAAATGAAATGTAGGTACTAAAGATTACCATGTAGGTACACCTACCTATTTTGCAACGCCAATGATATTCATGTCTATAGACGATCGTTACCGATTCGATCTAGTGAGATTATGAACTTATTTAAACGTTTAAAAATATGTTTACAAATTATATCAATTTTACAAAAAAATATCGTGAATATTTGTATAAATTTGCAAAAGTATCGCTTCTGTATTATAGACGCGATGTCTTCGTAATCTAAACTAAAATGTAGTTGCAAGTCAATTAAACCCAGATTATTATTTTCATTTCAGAGAAATCTACAATGAAGACAATGTTAGTGATATTTTTGGGAACAGTGTGCATATCATTCGTCGCTGCCATACTTCCAGTGTCATCTAATGATAACGTCATTAACATAATACAAAAGAAACCAGTAATAAACACGTGCTCACCGCTGTACCCAAGAGCAACCTTGACAAGAGACCTTAGAAAGTTGGACGGCATATGGAATTTTAGATTATCACCACCAAATAATCCCTTATTCGGATTTCTTAATGGATGGTATCAGCAGGATCTCGCTAAAGTAAGCATGTATTTTTACTGACGGTATATAATTTATGATATTGTATGTATATTATATTATATATGTAATTAGTGCATTATATACTCATAATATAATATCTCAAGACAATTCACACAGCGCCATCTAGTCCCAAGCTAAGCAGAGGTTGTGTTATGGGTACTAGACAACTGATATAAATACATGGATACATTTTTTTGTAAATAAATACATATTATACATAGAAAACACCCAGACCGATACAAACAATCATACTTATGAATACAAATTTTGTACCGTGCGAGGAATCGAACCCACGACCATCGGTTAGTAAAGCGGTGTGCTAAATCACTAGACCACCGAGGTTGTCAATATATATACACCTACTAATGTTTGTTGTCTTAACTTTAAATAATAACCTCAAGCAAAAGAAGTGAGATGACTGACAATCTCAGTAGTAGTCGTAAGTTCATACATAATATAAGTGTATATAATACTTACGAAGAATGATTAACTTAACTCTTTAAGTATCTTCTACAGAAAATTACTTTCTGGCTTTATTTATGTTACTATACAAATTGAATATATTCTCTCATAAGCTTATGTAACGAGAAACTAAGTAAATTGGATATAGTATTAATATTTTAATATTAATCATATTTCTCAAACAAATTTATAGATTTTATGCAACAGTATAATAATAAGCTTTAGTCTTCAAAACACGCATATAATGTGTTACTGCCTGAACTCTGCTGAACGTCGTTAATAAAATATATTCTAAAAATACCTAATGAAATATTAAAGTTGTTCTATTTGAAATATTTATTTATTTTGTAGTGGGAACAAGACGGCATATACACATTGTTCCTCCGGTCATCCTATGTTTATCTAGTTTTAAGAATAGTAGGAAAGTATTCTGAGAACATGCATTCCTTGCTCAAATACATCCGCTATTTTTTAATGTTTTTGAATCGTACTTTTAATTTAATCTTATCTAGTGTAACTTTGGCTGTGGCTGCCGTTCTACTTTAAACCAAACTGCACACTAATATAATGCTTATTTTCGATTTGCACCAGACTGGACCAGTTATCCCGATGCCGGTTCCCTCATCATATAACGACGTCGGTGTGGACGCAGTGGTGCGAGATCACACAGGCGTGGTGTGGTATGACAGGCGATTTTATGCACCACGCTGGTGGCGGGACGCCAAACAAAGAGTTTGGTTGAGATTCAGCAGCGTACATTACCAAGCAAAAGTGGTGAGTTACAAGTTTCAATAGGTTTTACAAAAAAAGTTTAAAAATAATATAATATATATGTATATTGTGTAGATACAAAGACAATTTAAATGATAAAGGTTCTCATCCTATTTGAAGTTGGTTGAAGAAGCTGTGCCTGTTATTGTTACTACATCTTGCTTATCTAGCTCGATACACAGTAGGGTTGGTAGGTTTTGTCATGCTGAAGGAAAATAAATAAATAATAAAGAGACTTATCCTAAATAACTGGTCCATGAACACAAATTATGAATCATATATACGGAGCTATAAACCTGAAAATGTAATGTATTATGTATAATTAGCATCCACGATGAGAGACTTCCCTGACAACTTCCTATATATATATATACATATATAGTTAAGTTTCATCTCATCTATAAAGGTGAACGTACCTTAAGATATATTATTTGTTTACCATAGTGTATAAAAACTAATTGCAGTTACAATAATTAATGGATGCTTTTTCTTATCACTATATGTACATAATAAGTTGGAACTTTACAAAGTCCGTCTAATAATGTCTTCTACAAAAAAACAATGCTTGAATAATAAAATCCTCGGACGAAATTTATGTATTTATGCACACGGACTTGGATGACTTGTCGTAATGATTACGTAATAGTATTTTCTTGATCAGTTGTTTGGAAAATAATGTTATCTTTAGTCAAATCAACTCATAAAGAGGAAACATTTTATATTTTGTTTGTAATGGATAAATTTATGAAATACTTAACCGATTTCATATTAATTTCACCTGTAGAGAGCTACATCATTTTCAGAAAGTACGACCCATATTGGGTTATACTTTATTTAAATAAACTAGGAACCTCTACAATAATCGCACAAAACACACAAAACACACAAACAACACAATAATATAAGTATGTAATTTTATCTTAATAATATTATATATGCGGAAGTTTGTAAGTGTGGATGTTAATTATTCATGCACGCAAATTTCATGCGGGTGAAACCGCGGGCACAGCTAGTCTTTTTTTTTGTAAATACATACATAATACACCCAAACCAATACAAGCAATCATACTTATGAATACAAATGTTTGCACCGTGCGAGGAATAGAACGCGCGACTACCAGAAGTAAAGAGGTGTGCTAATCCGCTAGACCACCGAGGCCGTCTACCCATGTTACCGATCCTTTTTTTGGCATGTAATTGTAAACTGAACCGAAAATGGTCTTAAACTTTAATAGTTATTAGAATTAATAATTAACTTAAAAGTTAATTTAAAATATATACTAAGACTACTCTGTACGTAGAGTTCTCGGCACATTATATCACATACGAGTAAACACGTACACGAAGGAAGTAGCGCGGATCAGCTATATAAGTATTACATCATAATGCAATTCTTTTCGCACGAATATTAATGTTTTATAATCTATGAGAGAAATCATGTTCGTTATAATGTATTTGTATTTATATATTTACGATTATATTATAATATTGTATTGAAATAAGTACTTGGGTATAATGCAGCGGAACTATAGAACAATGCGTATGTTTTTACATATTAAGTATATATTTTTTTAAATGGCATATTATATTTTTATTAAATGAAGAAGGAAAAGTATTAAGAGAACAAAACGATTAAAAATCCTATACATATAACTATACAATACTGGCTATTTTCCATTTAGTGTATATATAGTTTTTTAGTTTAGTATATATACGTTAATAACATAAAGGGCGTCGATCTGCTTGTGATCGTCTGAGAGGTGTCTCCAATCAAGTCTGTCGCTAGGCAATTGCTTGATTGTAATAGGACAATTTGTCAACTACCGAGCGAGCTACCTTAGTTTCTTGTTCATCCTATCGTTATATATCTAAACATTACTCGTTACAAACTTACATATTATACACTGCCAAAAATGGACAATAGGGTTTAATAAAATTTAAAGGTATATCATGAACGAGTATTTCTATATTCAGTAATGAGCCTAGGAGTAACAAGATAAGATGAAGATAATTATCAAATTAAAACAAATATAGATACACTCGTTTACGTTTCACGGTAAATATGAAATAGTGGTGGTGGTCTTATATATTTGACATATTATAAGAGTCTGTAATAGACCTACATGAACAAAAATATTTTTAATTTGAATTTGCACTCCTCTATGCTTAGGAATGAGGATAAAGTGGCATATTTACCTGGTATGATGTAAATTACGATGGTTTTTAGGGCGGAACACGTGGAAGTCGATCTGATAGGCTTGTAGTAGTCGCCATTACTAATAATTTCCTTCCTCTCTCTTGTAGAATTGATGAGGTAAAACAAGTAAACCTCTTGCATACAAGCCTATAAAATAAAATTTAGAGTAATGTGCTACTAAAAACTACCCAAATATTGAAAACGTTACTCTTAAATTATAAATTTTGATTGTAATGTAATAAATTACTATCAATAGACAAAATAATTTTGGTTGTTTCGATAGGTGTCATACTTATACTTCGTATGGCAATTGCATTAGAAGAGGGCAAGAAGCACTGACCTCACTTAACCGACAATATTGCTCAATCAGCTTCCTACGATTCTTAGGGTTGTCGTGCATTAAATGTTTCTTAATCTGTCTCAAAATTACTAATATCTAAAGTTAAAAAACGAATAAATGTAATAAAATATAAATTTAAGGAGTAAGTATATTTTGATTTTAGCATACCTCTAATAGGAAAGGAATATGACTGAACAGTCAAGTGATACGATGTAAAAAAAGATCCTAATTAAATAGAATTGAATAATATCAACTTATATACATTTCATGACAAACAAAAAGTATACATACATGTGTCTACATAACGTATTAAAATATTATAACATTTATAATTTCTTCCGAATAATAATTAAATTCTAACTAAAAAAGTAGTTCGTGTCTACCGCCATCCAAAATATGATGTGTATTCTAATATTAATTTTGTGTCTTTTATGAAGAATAGTAGTGCCGAGGTACCCAACAAATAAATTCAATATAACAAATAAGTAATAATAATATAATAATAATAATAATCTCAGGACTAAAGCATTTATAATTTAACACAACAGTTATTAGAGTTTTATCAACAAATACTGTTTTGGAGAGTTTAGTTAATGTGTAAACTCTATGAGAATCGTGATATAAGTTATCACGATATTTTATATACAACAGTTTAATAATATATTGTTATTTTTTTATTTTAAATAGTGCTTATCTGAGTTGATACTATATACAATTAGATAATGTCAGCCTCTTAAAGAAATCAAGTGGATACTTATGAATCACCGTTGGTGTCCATGATAACCGCAATTCGCGATAATACTCGTGCCCCACCTACCTACTATTGAGAAATGTGTAAAAAAGCATAGATAACTAAATAGGTTTTACTAACATCACAGTATATATTTATCTTTTTACGACATATAATATATGTTAATACATTTCAAAGAAGGTCATTTGCATCATTAGATAAGTAACCGAAACTTTAGATATGGTATTGTAAACGACAAGATAAGGTAAAGCATGGATTCTTCTCAGGTACTTCTAACTGAAGTAACCAATAAATTTTATCTAAAATACAGCATAGATTGGTAACTGCTATTAGATTTTCAATTTGTTTTTAAATAAATAAATATTTCTGCATCTCTTCTTTATATTTGATGCAATAACTACTATTGTTATAGTATAGTTAAAAAAATGAGCTAATTAAAAAAATATTAAGTACCACGTGGATTTCTCAAATATTGCTTCTCAAGGGTAGTTGTGAAATTACAGTTGATTTGGATTTTAATAATATACATACATACATATATACATATATAAATGATTAAAAAAATAAAAGCGAATGTTTATACTCTTTCACATTAATACCATATTTTTTTCTGTTCTTATTATTTATTTTATCATAACTACTTATTATAAGCAATATTTATAATGCAATTTATACTTATTTACATTTTCAGTTCCTAAACGGTAATCAAGTTACATCACACGAAATCGGCCATCTACCATTCGAAGTGGAAATCACGGATGCTGTTCTCTACAACAGTTCTAATTTACTCACTGTAGCCGTTGACAACACGCTGACTCTAAACACTATTCCACAGGAAAATGGGTTAGTTTAGTACAAAATACAATTAGAAAGCTTCGCTCTTCTTAAGGTTGGCCTGTTTGTGACAACAATGACTGGTTGGTTCACATTTGAGAAACGTTTGTACTTGGTATAATTTCTATAAGACATTCCATTCCTATTTTTATAATAGATGATTGTTTTATTATTTCTTACCTTTTGTAAATGTATCACAAGAAAAAATAATTTGTTGATTTCTTAGATAAATGGGAAATTAAATTATTCGTGCTAACACCAAAGTTTCTATTATATTAACTACTCTTTTGCGAAATTCCTATTTACTAATAATAATAGTTCTTGTATATGTACAGGAATTTGATGAATTTACAATGTTTTCGTATTCCGCGACAGTGTATCCGAATTTATCCGGAAGTTTTCTTCGCACTGTGAACTGTATCTATGTATATTCGGGAGTTCTCTTATATTCTTATTAAAAACATAACAGTGAAATTAAATAAAATAAAAAACAATTGCAATTACGTACCTATCTATTACTAATACGTCATGTCCTCTGCAGTACATGTTTGTTAACAGTATATAGATACTCTTCCATTACATTAACAGTCTTGATAACGAAATTGTAGCAAACATAAAAGCCACCCGCCCAAGTGGAAAGTTGTGTAAGTTTTTGTATTAATTATGTACGATTGTGTTTCAGATATGACTTTTTCAACTACGCCGGTATACACCGGACTGTGTACATTTACTCTACGCCACAACTATATATAGAAGACATTACTATAGATACGGACATACAAGGTTATACGGGTATGTTTATTTGACAATCCTAAATTAATATTTATGCTAATCAATGAATATCTACTAAAATTCATAGTCAATAATTGCATTACATGTTTTATACACACACCATAATTTCGTACGTATTCATACGATTTGCCGTCATAGGAAGCTCCTTGTCAAGATCGAAGAGGTACTGGTGAAATGCAGTAATCCTTAAATCTATAATTTTTGGCGCACTGACGACAATTCATTTATGTCCAAACTACCCGCCCAACTTCGTCTGCATCACACTTACTTCATATTTATCATATATTTCGCACAATTTACATAATATCTTTTTACATTATAGCCTATGTATTATTCTAATGTATAGGTTATGTTACTGTAAAGTTTCATCAAAATCCATTCAGTAGTTTTTGCGTAAAAGAGTAACAGATATTCATTCATCTCTACATCCATACTCACAAACTTTCGCATATATACATAATATTAGTAAGAGCAGTGTAAACCTTGAGAACAAGGTACAAATGTAAACTTTTTGGAGTTAGCAAACAGGAGTACAGAACCAATGCGTGACAATTTACTTAAAATACTAAAGCAAAAAGGCACCCTATAGCAATAAGACCGCCTTCCGAACCTCATCGCTCTAAGTAAATTATATTTCTTCTAATACAATGAAATGTTAAAAATAATGATATAATTAATATTGGCATAAATGATACGGTTATTATTTCATGTTCCTAGGATTTTGTCAGATAAGTAGATAGTTCTCAAAACGTATAAGTGCTGATTATAACGCCGAGATGGGAAAAAATGTCATATGATACCCGTGATACTCATGCGTTGCCAAACCTGATGTCATGCCTCTTATCCTATAATTTCCACCATCTTATAAAAAGATATTATCATTACATAGTATAAAACAGAGTCGCTGTCGCTGTCTGTGCGTCCCTACGTCCACTTTGAAACTACGCAATGGATTTCGAAGCGGTTTTATTTAATAGATGGAGTGATTCAAGAGGAAGATTTATATGTATAATAGCTGTAAAGTATATCTTACTTAAGGAAGCCTGAATAAGCCTACAATTAATCTAAATAATCCCCTATCAACATCTCTGTTATCTCACAGGTATTGTGACTTATGACATATCAGTAAAGGGATCTAGTGAGGATGAGATCATCTGCTTTGTGGAGATATTCGATAGGAACAACACTAAAGTGGGATCGTCACAAAACTGCAGCGGGGTGGTTGACATACCCCAAGCGCACCTCTGGTGGCCTTACCTCATGCATCACGATCCTGGATACTTGTACACTTTGAAGGTAAACGAAATCAACTAATTAATTTCACAACTAACTTAATTGTAATAAAATAACTACCAATATCTCATTCCGTTATACAAATATGTATATTTAAAATTCGAGCACTGCCCGCGACTTTATATTTTATATCTTGGCAAAATAAAGAAAAAAAAGTAAATAATCTGATGATTCTTAAAGTTTCATTGTTCTAGCTTCAAAAATGATAATTTTCCATACAAACTTTCATCCCCCATTTTATTTTACCCCCTTAAGGGTAACATTTTTACAAACTTTAAATGACATATTTATTTATATTCAATCAACAACCTAAAACTTAAGTTTCAATATTCTAGCTTTAAAAATTATAATCCTTCCATACAAACTTTCATATTCCCCTTCAACCCTCTTACAACAACTTTTTTCGCATTAAAATGCCTATGTCCTTTCTCAGTCATCTATGTACAGAATTTCATTTAAATCGGTTCAATAGTTTTGGCGTGAAAGGGAGACAGACAGACAGACAGAGTTAATTTCGCATTTATAATATTAGTAAGGATTTGTCCTATAAATATTTCAATTTACTTAACAGGTGTCACTAGTAAACACGCGGGATGAGCTTGTGGATACTTACACAGAAAGGTTCGGCATTAGAACCGTAATCTGGACCAATACTACCGTCTACCTGAATGACCAGCAGATCTATCTGCGCGGGTTTGGCATGCACGAAGACTCTGATGTATGTATGACTTCGTTTACCTTATAGATATTAGAATTTTAATTACTTATAAGTTTTTATAGGACGCAAATCATGAACAAGCTAACGAGCATTATGATATAAAAAAGTTTCTTTCGGGTACCTAAGAATAAATGTCAGACTAACGACCTACCTAACTGAAAGTAGAATTAATCGCCCATATACATGTATACACCTCAGAAATCACTAATACGGTCATATTATCTACTACTGTTGTCTACACCTATTTTGTAATCTGCATAGTGCTATTTTGTAATTCTTTATTTCTATATTTCTTATAACACGATATTTACCATGATTATATTCTTTATGAACTCCCCTATGCAAAGGCCTTTACGAACAGCATATGCTAGCGGATATTACGAGTACCTTTATAGTGTTAGATTATAATAGTTACGATAATAAATATACAGAGCTGTATAGCAGATATATTTATAATAATTGAATGTTGACATGATCTTATATGCCGATTAATAATGAATTGTTTAATTATAAATAGAAGTAATGTTATTGATATCGACCGAGTTAGTTTCATAATTTTTATAAAAATAGTGAGGGTACAAAACTGATCTGTAAACGATATTTAGAGATAATTATTCATTCTTGTCTTGGCCACAGTTGTGTTAAGACGTACAAATAAAGTATTAGAATATAAAATACGTTTTCATTTCTGGTAATAGCTAGAAAAAACCCATTTAGCTATTATCAGAAGTGGGATCACCGCACATATTTCACTAAAAAACATGGGTAGAAAGCGATCAACAAATACACACGCCCATAGTGCAAAGAAACGAAGTCGACGACGTAAAGATTATTCATCTGACGGATCGTCTAATAGTTCTACACATCGACGAAAAGTATCCAGAGATAAATCTTCGAGGAACAGTAAGAAAAGAACACGATCATACACGCCGGAGGTAGTAGGAAATCGTTCAAGAAATGAAGAAAGACATACAAAAAGCCGTGGACGGTCCACACGCTCAAGTATTACTGCGACTGGACGTGAGAGGGAGCCGCCTCTGTCAACATCGGAAGCGCGAAGGGTTCCAGAGGAGCAGCCGGCGAGTCAGTATCCAGTGGAGCCTGCTGGTCATTCCGAACCTATGAATGTAGCAGCCTCCTCGGTACCCCCGCGGCTGTCACACCAGAAGCAGGAACGTCTTGTGAGTACAGTTCTAATATTACTCCTAATGTTTTGGTAAATATTAATGAATTTTCTAGATTACTACAGTCTTTTGTTCGGCCTAATCCACCATCATCAATTAATTATAATGCTAATATGATACCCGAATTTGACCCGTCGATAAAAAATCACCGTATTGATCAGTGGATAGCTAAGGTTAACGAATGTGCTCAAATATATGGATGGGACAATATGCAAATTATGCATTACTCTTTACCCAAACTTACGGGTAATGCGAAAAAATGGTATCAAGGACAGACAACTATTTTGCATACTTGGGAACAATGGCAGGTCCTCCTACGTAAGGCTTTTCCTACAGAAACGAATTATGGGGTTCTTTTAATGGAAATGTTAGAACGGAGACTTCAATTTGGAGAAAATTTAGATGAATATTATTATGATAAAATTATGTAATTGAATGCATGTAACATCTCTGGTAGGCAGGCTGTAGATTGCGTTATTCATGGAATTAATGATAGAACCATACGGGCAGGCGCGTCTTCTGCCCGTTTTACCACTACTGAGGATCTTTTTAAATACTTGAAGGATGTATGTAAAGAGCAGAAGGATATATCTCGTACCGCACAATTGAATAAAAATAGGGTTATTAACAATATAGTATGCAATAAATGTGACGAAATCGGACACAAGGCTGCTCAGTGTCGCATAGTCAACCCCCAAAGCAGTCTGAAATTTAATCCACCAGCGGTTTGTTTTAATTGTAAAGATAAAGGCCACAGGGTACATCAATGCCCTAAACCATTAATAAAATGTGACTTGTGTAGACGATTTGGTCACCTTAGCAATAACTGTTTTCAAAAAAATGAATCTAAAAACAATGAGAAACGGGTATTATTTGTTAATGGCGCAACTAGTCATAATTTAAAGTATCATAAACAAGCTTTCATTAATAAACACCGAGAAATTGAATGTTTTGTTGATTTGGGGAGTGACTGCACGCTTATTACACATGGAACAGTTATCGAGTTAGGGTTGCACATTTTTAAAGATAATCTACCCTCGATACGCGGTGTCGCTAATGTTAACATACCCTTGTTAGGAAAAACATCCTTCCAGTTACGTATCGATTCTGTAGAAGCTGAGGTTGTTGCATATGTTATTGGCGATAACCACCTTCACATACCCTTATTAGTGGGTCAGAATTTTACGGAATTGCCAGAAGTAGTAATCACTAAAACCAAAAATTACCTAAGCATCGTGTCTCGTACGATTGATTCGGAATTACTTAACATCAAATTGAACAATGATACAAATAATAAATGCAAGTTGTATGTCCAATCTGACTCTGAAATTCAAAATATAGACTTATTAAAATGTTACTGTCACGATTACAAAAATGCCGATATTTATATAAAAGGAAGTTATCGTAATATTGAAGGTAAAGAATACTGTATACAGGAAGGCATATATAAAATAATAAAAGGAGAGTGTAAAATTTTACTTATAAAAGTTAATGACCTCGATAAACCCCTTTATTTTGTAAAAGACTATTTGATTGTGCGCGCACAACTCATCCGTTTAGATGATGCTCTCTTAGATACAACGTCCCAGAAGTCACTTACTTGTTTAAAGACCCATTTATTAGAACCTATTAATAGAAGTGAAGTAAACATTAACCACGGCCTTAATGAACAACAAAAAACTAAAGTATTTGATTTAATTGATAAATATAGAGATTGTTTCGCGCTTAATTTATCTGAAATAGGTTGTACAAGTATTTCCGAGTTAGACATAAAATTGTCAGATGACACACCAGTAGTTTACCGTCCTTATCGTTTAAGTCATACTGAAAAAAATATCGTGCGAGATATGGTTAAGGAACTACAAGATAATGACATAATAAGGAATCAGATTCATTGTACTTTTAGTTTCAAAGAAAACAGGAGGCTATAGACTCTGTATTGATTATAGGGCGTTGAATAGAAAAACAATTAAAGACCTTTATCCATTACCCCGTATTGATGACCAGCTTGACCTTCTCAGTGGAAACGTTTATTTCATTTCACTGGATATGTCTAGTGGATACTATCAAATTCTGTTAAAGATAGCTGTAAACACTTAACAGCCTTTATTACTCCTGATGGGTTATACCAATTTAAACGAGCTCCATTCGGGTTAGCTAATTGTCCAGCAGTTTTTCAACGTACCGTCAATAAAATGCTAAATAAAGGTAATAAAAAGTGCGCAATAGCTTACATGGATGACTTATTAATTGCGGGAACTAGTTTTGATGACTGTGTAGAAAAATTAGAACAGACCTTTTTACTTTTAAAAGATGCAGGATTGACCTTAAACTTAAACAAATGTCGTTTTTTTGACACCACAATAAATTATTTAGGGTTTGAAATATCGGCTGAGGGATAAACCTGGTAATGGAAAAATGAAATCATTTCCTGAACCCAAAAATGTTCACGAGGTTCGACAATTTATTGGTCTCGCCAGTTATTTTAGAAAGTTTATTCAGGATTTTGCGGTTATAGCACGACCGTTAACTGATCTCACTCGTCAAAATATTCCATGGGTGTGGGGAAATCATCAGAAAGACGCATTTACAAATTTGAAAGATAAATTAGTACAACGTCCAATATTAGCTTTATATAACCCTAATTACATAACGGAGTTGCATTGCGATGCATCAAAAATTGGTTTGGGTGGTATTTTATTACAAAAAGAATTTATTTCTTCTAAATTACAACCAGTAGCATTCTTTAGTCGTAAAACAACAATAGATGAAGAGAAATTACATGCGTATGAGTTAGAAACACTAGCAGTCGTTTCATCTTTAAACCGATTTAGAGTTTACCTGTTAGGAAAACATTTTACAATTGTAACTGATTGTAGTGCATTGCGATCAACTTTTACAAAAAGAGATTTGATACCCAGGGTAGCACGGTGGTGGATAGCATTACAAGAGTATGATTGCTCAATTGAATATAGACCTGGTAATTCTATGCAGCATGTAGATGCCCTCAGTAGAAATCCCATTTCCTGTAATGACGATAGTGACAAATTAGCACACTTTTCTCGAGTAATGCATATTACACAGGATGACTGGCTTCTTAGTTTACAGTTGACAGATGAAAAAATTCAGTATATTAAAGATGCTTTAGAGGACCCCAAATACAATGAGATAGCAGATATAAAAGAGAATTTTATTGTAAAAAATAATCGACTGTACAGGAAAGTTGGGGAAAACTTAAAGTGGGTTGTACCGAAAGGTGCAAGATGGCAGATATGTCAACGAAATCACGACGATATCGGACATTTTTCGGTAGAAAAGACACTAGAAAAGATTAAAAGAGATTTTTGGTTTCCAAAAATGAATAAGTTTGTCAGTAAGTACGTAAAGTCCTGTTTACATTGTGCATTCGGTAAGGAGCCAGCTGGATGTAAAGAAGGTTTTCTCCATAGTATTCCTAAAACTGATATTCCGTTTCACACTCTCCATGCGGATCACCTAGGTCCTTTTGTAAAAAGCACGCAAGGGAATCAGTATTTGTTAGTAGTAGTAGATGGATTTACAAAGTTTTGTGTCGTTAAACCATTGCGCAATACTAAAACAAAACCCACGATTAAAGTTCTGAAAGAAATATTTTACATTTTTGGACACCCATCACGCATAATTACAGACCGTGGATCATGTTTTACATCTAGTGAATTTAAAAAATTCTGTAATGAATTTGAAGTTCGACATATTTTAAATGCAGTATCAGCCCCTAGAGCCAACGGACAGGTTGAGCGCTATAATCGCACAATATTAGATGGACTTAGGGTTTACTCTGATAAGGAAGGCGAAAATAAATGGGACCAAGATCTTGGGAAAATTCAGTGGGGTCTCAATAATACGCTCAATAAAGGAACGGGAAAAACCCCCGCTGAATCATTATTTTGTAAACGTCCTCTCAATCGTGGCGAAGGACTGTTAGGTGAGACTATTATAGAAACTAGACAGAATGACAAACAAACTGACATAATAAGAACGGAAATTAGTGAACACATTGAAAATAATCAAGCTAAACAACGGTCTAGATTTGATAAGAGTAGAAAAACAGCCAAAATATACTCAGTGGGAGATCTAGTTAAAATATTAAAAACTACTCCTTCTAATAATGGCAAAAGTCGTAAACTTTTGCCTAAATACACTGGTCCATTTAGAGTTAGTAAAGTTTTAGGAAATGATCGTTACGAAATATCTAGTATTCCGGGTTCTCATGTCTCTCGAGGTAAATATACTAATGTCTGGTCAGTAGACCGTATACAACCTTGGATTACTGTCGCGGCAAATAGTGATAGCAATTCTTCAGATGGTGGATATAGCGTAAGATGATAATTACTATGTATTTGGTTTTACATTTGTTTAAAGTTAATTGTACCATGTGATTTACGATAACAAATTAATAGATATTGAAAGTGAATCATTTATTAGAATTATATAGGTTGATATAGTATAAGATATATATGTATAAGCACTACAGAATTTATTGATTGTGTAGATTAAGATTTGTGAATTTATAGATGTCTTAAACTTGTGATGAAGATAAACTTGGTACTTGATTTATAACAAATGAATAATTGAAGTGATACATTGTATGTTATAGTTTAGTAAAGATTTAACATTATTATGAATAAATGTAATATTGATGGAGAATAAATAATTTATGGAAAGTAATTTGTTGATAATCTGGAATGCGTGTCACGGTCATGAAGTCTTGTAGTGAAAAGAAACTCTTGACTTTGTGATGAGGGGTCCGCTACAGATTTTGATATTTGTGTGGTACATACTGGAATCTGGAATGTGAGATACGATCGCTGAGTCCTGCAGTAAAAATACTCTTGACTCTCGATGAGGGATCCACTGCAGGTTGTATGTTCTGTGAATCTGGAATGCGAAGCACGGTCGTGGAGTCCTGTAGCGAACTATAGTTACTGACTGTAGTTAACTCTTGACTCTACGATGAGGGGCCCGCTGCAGATGATCATATGTGTTGATACTGAAATCTGGAAGGCGTGACACGGTTGCGGAGTCCTGTAGTGAACTTAACTCTTGACTCCGCGATGAGGGGTCCGCTGCAGACTGAAGTAGCTATGTGTGATATGATGAATGATGTGCGAAAATAACTAGACTTTGAGTGTCTACAGTTGTTTGGGTAGTTATTACTAATCAATGTTTTTGTTTACATTATACTTATATGATTATTGATTTATATAAATACAAATAAGTTTGAGGACAAACTCTTTTTATCAGAATCCGAATGTTAGATTATAATAGTTACGATAATAAATATACAGAGCTGTATAGCAGATATATTTATAATAATTGAATGTTGACATGATCTTATATGCCGATTAATAATGAATTGTTTAATTATAAATAGAAGTAATGTTATTGATATCGACCGAGTTAGTTTCATAATTTTTATAAAAATAGTGAGGGTACAAAACTGATCTGTAAACGATATTTAGAGATAATTATTCATTCTTGTCTTGGCCACAGTTGTGTTAAGACGTACAAATAAAGTATTAGAATATAAAATACGTTTTCATTTCTGGTAATAGCTAGAAAAAACCCATTTAGCTATTAATAGAATGAAGAAAAACTCATAGCCCATCATTGCGAATTCAATCATCCATCAACTTTCATTGTTCAATGTGATGGATACCAAATTTATTAATTGATAGAAATTCCAGGAATCCTTTGACAGAACAATAAAATTTTATTACTCGCAATCACTTCCAGAACTCCTTATATTTCGATGGTATTGTACAGGCAACGGGTCGACTGACTGGTATATAAATAATTGGTTCTATAATCATATCCTCAGTTCCGGGGCAAAGGCTGGGATCCAGTTTTGTGGGTGAAAAATATTAACCTGATCAAATGGGTGGGCGGGAATTCGTTCCGTACCTCACACTATCCGTACGCGGAGGAGATCTATCAGTTGGCAGACGAACACGGAATCATGGTTATCGACGAGTGCCCTAGTGTTAACGCCATGTAAGTATATCATTCGTAATATTTTTTTACAGTTTGAAATAGTAGTATCAACGTTGCAAAATAATTCTATCAAAACAACAAAGATACTACGTATGTAGTATCTTTGTTCTCCTACATCTCTATCTATCTCCAAAAAATAGGAACAAAAAACTTCTGCCTACTGTCTGTCATCTCAAATTTAACATACCAACTAGATTTTCACTACTAGCATTATTTTTCCTTTTTCTTCTTCAACTTTCAAAAATTTACCACCCCTATATATTAATAATAAATCGCTAGACAACCGAAGTTGTCTTTAATATAAGAGAGTCGTGGCATAGTGGATACTCTTATTTATACATAGATCCCAGAAGTCATAAATTTTAACAGTAATTTGTGTATCATTTCTATCGCTAACTAAATCTTAGATGATATTAACAGTTGAAAAACAATGGTAGTTTCATAAACTCTGAAATTCTAGTCGTTAGATCATCTTATGTTTCTTTATCTTTTGGTACGTAATAATGTTTGTATGTGTATTTTCTGTAAGAGAAATTCGTTCGTTTATTCGTATCTAAGGGCAATGCTTAATTCAATGGAACAAGCCTACCTTTTCTGTTTCTAAGAAAAGAAGCTACTGTCGCTTTCTAAATGACCATCAACACTTGTCGTATAGTTACTTACAGCTATAGTTCGATGTCAGTTCAGAAAGTGAGACATCACTTATCGTCCTCAGCGGACCATCGCACGCTATCACTTTCGATGCTGATATAACATGGTCCACTTCAGGTACATCGGTACTGATATTAAAAAAAAGTGTGAATTTTATGAGTTCGAATATATAAATAGCTTTTTCTTTTTTCTTCTTTTAGTTTTCTTGTGTTAGATTATTAAATATTTTTTCTTTATTTGGGTCATTGTGTTCTTTTTTTTCATTGGTCAAAAGTACTTTCAAATTTAGTTAGATGTTATTTGGATTTTAATAAGATCTTTGCAGTTAAACAAAAAGCTTATTAAGTTATTTATACGTATGTCTCTTATTTATAAAATAATAATAATCTTTATTTGTCTCAAACAAAAACTAATACAACTGATGCCCATGCAATAATATAATTTGAAACTAATGTATGAGACAAAACGGTCTATAACTCAGTGAGGACAGTGAGTCCACCCTCTCTGCTATTCTGTTATAGCCTTTATCAGTAAAATAATACAATATGAGATCGACGACGACGATAACTTATTAAGTTAAGTTCTAAACTACAACTAACAAGTAAACATAAAAATTGAAAATAACAAGATTACAAACTAATAAGATTTGACAATAACAAACTTAAATATTTATATACACATATATAATCTAAACATTATTCAGGATTAGTTACAACATTATATAAAAACTAAGAATTATTCAAGATAATTGGCCTAAATAATTAAAAAGATTGAATTTTATTCGAAAGACTGGTACCATTGATTTTACTTAGTTCTACGGAAACCGCACTGTAACTACAATAAATATTATGTTTAATTTAATACAGTCGTGACTAGAACGAAGACGTGATCAGAGGTCACGGTTATAAATTCAAATGGTCGTCACCAAGCGTATCAGATATAAAGAATAAAAAATATACCTACTATATTTACGGTATAATTATAAGAAAAAAAAATTACATGGAAGTGCCAAAAAGTTCATTAAATGATAAGGTAAATATCGGTTATATACATCTACAGCACTACAGGTATCACGTCATCATGTAAAGAGCAGCTTGCGTTTCGTAAGCTGTATTTAGTTTGGAGTCTTTTAAACAAAACACAACTTACGAAACAAGCTGCTTAGTAGAGAAAATAGTCGTGAAAATTGTCAGAGGTGGGACGTTGTATTAAGAGTTGTGAAATCTCTTTAAAAATATATAAAATTATTAGATTTTAATTAAAGAATGTCATTCATCTATAAATTTCTCATACTATGTGTACTGGAGCGGGAACACAACGACTATGTTATTAAAAATCATAATAATAGTAATAAATGTCTGTATTTCCCAAAAGGGCTCACAGCGAAGAAGTAACAAGTCAAAAGTGCATTATAAAAACAAAGATATCAAAAATACAAAGTTTATAAAAAGAATGGTAGACAAGTTGCCAGCAACAGTATGCACCTGCTTTCCCGGAACCTCGAATCTTCAGTTATTCATCCGATCCATCACATTGTTTGTTGTCACCAAATTGTTCATTGTCACCAAAACAAAATATGATGCGTATAGCTTGAGAGTATATAATATACCCTTACAAATGAATAAAGAATTTTGAAAGTTAATCCACAATTAACCAATATAACTATACCTAGCGATCAACCATAGACCTCCTACCTTATTGAAGTCTTTTAAAATATATTCTGTTACACCTGTTACATGATATGCATTTAATTTCCAGAAACTATTCTGACTCTCTACTGGAAAAACACAAGCAGTCGCTAACAGAGTTGATCAGAAGAGATAAGAATCATCCCAGCGTGATCATGTGGTCCATCGCCAACGAGCCGGTGAGCGACAGGCCTAACTGCGATGAATATTTCAAGTAAAAACCATTCAAACCCTTGTTGTTACATTATGACCAGGATGTTTATAAATATTTATACCCTTTCTTTCCTATTTATTTACTTTCAAATATGACATTTGACTAACATTACATTTTTGCAAATATATCCATATATTAACATAGAGAGTATGTACTCGCTTTTATTTGTGCTTACTGTAATTAAAAAAGCCTAGATACTTAGTAAGATTTTCTAATATGATGAGATGATAATAATCTTTCTTGCGCACTGCTAATGAACATTCTGGATATTTTTACAATTAAAGCCAGATGTCACAATGGAAGTCTACATAACATACATACACAGACATATCTTAATGAGGAAGTGTATTCAGTAGGGATGCCAACAGTACGAGGATCCTCATACAAATACAATAAATCTCGTACAACTTTTTTACTTCGGTACGAAGACATTTTCATCCTCGTATGAGTTTGTACGAGATTCTAACGGAAGTTAAAATGGAAAATTCGAGATTCTATCTAAGACTTTACTTTTTAAATAATTTAATCATACGAAGTTTTTAAGGTTGACAAACCTCGTTTTTAGGGTGATGCATTCGCCACAGTGCGCACAAACTCGTGTTACATTCAAAGTCGCGTCTCAGTCAATTGTCGCGGAAACGAAAAGATAGATAATTTATTGTATTTGCGTAGATAATCATTTAAGGAAATTACTCTTAAAACCTTAGCATTTACAATGACAATGTAAACTTATGGTGTTTACAATATTTTCACTTTCTAAGTAACTGTATATTTTGAAATAGTAAAAGTTGATTGTTTGTGTACCGTGTAGGTATTATTCATATCAGTAGTTTGCGTACAGCAGCTATTGTATTACTTGACCTCTTTATATTGTACCGATATTGTGTGCAGGTACTCACTAAAGAAAGAATTGTACCAACTTTCATTGATTGTAACATAACATATTTTAGTAACTCTCCAGTAATGGAAATTCCGATAACAAATTAAAAACCATCCGAGGCACCGGCGGTAGATTGTGCTACCTGCTCCGTTAGATTTATCTTGTTTAGCGAAATGTGGCATTCAAGTATTGTATTCACCACGGCATCGACAGTTGACAATGCTTCTAACTACCCCAGCTAAGAAACCCCATATATCTAAGTACAGACAGCAAAATTGTCTGATATAAGGACGTATTGTTATAGAATATCATAATGCTTCCAGAAAAGTGGTGGCGCATGTCAAAACTATGGATGTGTCCAGACCGGTCACCTATGCATTAGCTAACCCCAAGGATATTGCGGTAAGTTACGTAGGAAAAATAAGACAACAATAAAATTTATAACTCTTAAAATATTCTTTAATTTGTTGCCACTTATTTTCCTTAATATGTTGTCAGTGGCGACTAGAATAAAATATGTATTTTCTATAATTTCAATAACAAACCCACCTGTAAGCGTGTCCTTCCTAAGGACTAAGATGTTGAACCTCCATATCCCGTAATTACACTACCTTTTCTGATCCTTCAACTTAACACAAGTTAACAAAGCAAGCTGCATAAACGCTTCACCATTTCACAGCCCAACTTTATTTATTTGACCAATATGACAAGACATTTTGTTCCCTAAAACTTTCAAGCTTTATGACTTAGAATTTTTGCTGTAATTGGCGATCGACTAGATAGTAAGAAAATTGGAATGTTTGGTGTCAGCACGTGTACCACACTCAAAACAATAAGGAACATCACACTGGCAAAGTCCAATAAACAAAGGTGTATTTTTGTAATACAAGCTCTACTTTTAGAGCTTTTCCACTTTTACTAGTTTGGGACTAGATGGCGCTGGGTGAAATGTTGATTATTATTATTATTATTATTATTTGTATTTCAGGGTAAACATTTGGACGTGATCAGCTTCAACCGGTACAACGGTTGGTACCAAGAAACTGGTGAGCTTCAGCACGTGGCCGACAACGTGGCACGAGAGGCCCTGCAGTGGCACCGCAAATACAACCGCTCTGTACTCATGTCAGAGTATGGTGCTGACACCATTGCTGGGATGCACTTTGTGAGTACACTTTAACTTCTAATGATATTATTACACTTTTTCTAATGATATGTATTTTTTTAATGATATTATTTTTATAATATAAATCAGTTCGTTATTTTGATCACTGTTGGAATTGTAAGGGGGATCAGACGGACCATCACTATATCATCATCATACCGACCCTTCAAACTGAAATATATCTACTGGCAATGTACTTTAAATCCTCATTTCATAGCATCAGACTGATCTAACCTGGTTACGAAAAATTCTACTGATTATAAACTTGATGGGCAAACTGACTCCTACCCCCGCAGAATATTTTAATTGATTTATTACTTAATATATTTACATAATAATTAATTTACAACTCATAGTTGCCGACATTCGTATGGTCAGAAGACTACCAGGTGGCACTCATGTCAGAACATTTCAAGGCCTTCGACAAATTACGCCAGAGCGGTTTTTTCGTTGGCGAGTTTATATGGAATTTTGCTGACTTCAAAACTAAACAAGGTTAGTACGTAGCTCTTGAACTAAGTTTATTATCAATTATATATTATTATATCTACCTATCATCTTGCCAGACGCTTTATTGAGTAATGTAGTTAACTGAACCGTGCACTAATTTTGTATATCTAACTGTGAGATATTTTGTTTATTTATTTTGAATGGCAAATAAGCTAACGGCCACCTGATAGCATGTGTGCTACAGTTACCTTATAATTGCAAATCGGAAAGAATTTATAAAAAATTGTAAACCTATTGATTTTACAACCTTCATATAAAGTCTACGTAATTGTACATTGTTAATAATAGCTTCACTGATTTAAACAGATTATAATCTGTGGTTTAATAAAAGCAAAATTTGTTAAGATCCATATGGAGTTATGATAGATATACTCGTACATGGTGACACAGCCAAATAAAATATGTACATACCGCTTTCCTTCTGATGTTCGCGGGTTCGAGTCCTCGCATGGTTCAAATATTTGTATTCATCAGTAGATATTATTGTTTGTATTGGTCTGTGTGTTTTCTATGCATATTATGTACGTATTTTCAAGTTTTTTTTAATTGTATCTATCAGTTATTTAATACCCATAACACAAGCTCTGCTTAGCTTGGGACTAAAGTGGAAATCCCCCAATATATATACATATATATGTATAATATTTAGTGGATGATAATGTTCACCCGCCTGCGCTAATGGTTAATGCTAGCTGGGGGAGAGGATGATAGGATGAGCATGAGGTCAGGTCAGATAGCCCATCCTGGTGATCAACTAACAATTCCCGTCCCCCCTAAAAAATATGTATAAATTCGGCATAACTTTTCTGTGCTTAGCTTGGGATATACCGTGTAAATTGTCAGAAAATATATGTATGTATATAAATCGTAGGTATAATAAGAGCGGGTGGCAACAAAAAGGGTATATTTACGCGGTCGCGACAACCAAAGGCGGCGGCGCACCACCTGCGCGCTCGGTACCACGCGGTGGCCGCCGCAGACGCGGGCGCAGCGCCTCCTAGGCCACAACTCTACATAAGTGACAACACGCCCATACACCACGACGACCTGTAACCAGCCATTGGTATTATATGGGCAGCTAATTAGTTATAGTATATGGGCAGAAGACGTTCACCTGTCACGTGACCGCTGACTGGCTGACTATACCATGTGCGCTGTAGCATGGTGTGGGTGACAGTTTCATTATCGTTTCATTTCACTGTTAAAAGATGCCGCGATTTACAAATTATGATTTAGTATTTCAGCTGTACCACATTCGTAATATATTAAATCATTGATAACTGTATTAACGTAAATGTAACAATTGTAAAAGTAAAATTAGTAATGGTCACCCGCACCATGCTACAGCGCACACAATGTAATAGCGTTTGTACGAAATCGCCAGGCAGTTCAGTTTAAGCCGTATCCTGCCTGGGAATAAGAGTTCATAATATGCCCGCTGCACCTCTTTTTTTAATCGGTGTTAATATAATAGGATATTACTATATAAGTGCGTTATGATGGGTATGACACACGAGGCGGAAATTTAGCTCGAGACGTAGAAGAGGGTGTAATAGAGCCGAGTGTGTTAAATACGTCCATAATTTGGAAGTTTTTCAACACACTTGATTTTAAATAAACTCAACCTGAAGCTCTACCTAACGGCTGGCGCCACGCGGCGCGGCGGTCACATCAAAATTTGATAAAAAAAAAGCATACTTTATGAGCTGCTTTATATATCTAAAACAAGATCCACTTTACGAGCAAGTGTGTTGAAAATATTTTTAAACAGTTTATTACTGATCTTCCTATTTATTGTGTATATAATTTTCTTACTGTTGTATCTTTAGAATGAATTATTGTCTGTATAACGCTAAACGTTTGTCACACTTCGTGAACTCCTCTTAGTCCTATATAACATAATTAGACATTAACTGTAACATACATTGTCGACGTTTTAACAATCTACCAGTATTTTTATATAATTTATTAATGGTGAGAGCCTAACTGATAGTAAATGACAACCATTGACCTACCATGTATATATCATGTACAAAGTCATGGACATCATGACATCATGTAATAGCCGAGGTATTCCTCATGCGTTGACATTCCAAAGGAATGTTATACCTCTGTACCTTGTAATTTTACTGCCATACCTCACCTTTCAACCGAAGTATAACTTACAATACAAGCTCAGTAATTATGTGAGACAGAGGAACCCATGCAGACGACTTTGCTAAGTCTACCTCTGTATTGAAACGATGGATGTAGTCTGTCATATCATAACTCAATATATAGAATACGATAATTGCTCTCGAGTTGAGTATACTGAATTAATTTTATTAGTATTAATATTATTATTTACAGGTTTTAATAGTACCTACCTTTACATTTAAGAAATTCTAATTATGTGCGTACGTTATATACTTACTTTATTGATAATGACTAGAGGCCGAATGGTCAAATGTTGTATCCAAGTCTTTATTGTTGTATTACTCTATTTTGCGATAAAACTGCCTTTTCCATCTGAACTTATGTTCCTGCTTTGAAAATCTAACAAAGAAATATATTTTTTTAGTTCATTACAATGTACAATTTTAGATATCCCAAAAATATAATTTATTCCTTTCTTCTTTCCATCTTTCTTACAAGTCGAGGCGACATAATAGTTATTACGTTTATTAAGTATAAGTATAAGTAAGTAAGTATAAGAGTAAAAAAGAATGATGCCATTATTGTTTTGTATTATAAGTAATCAAATTTTGATTAAGTTTAGAATAAATTATATCTATCATATCTTGAATTCTAACTTAAACACAAATCTAACATTACAACATATAGAAGTTAGATATTAACAAATAGATGGCAATGGACCCGTTATAGCCTGCTGCTAATTGTTAATGTTAAATGTGCTTTTTTTCCGCGGGTATCATATTATGACCCGCAGAAAAGAAATCGTCCTAATTAATTTGTATAATACACTGCCTATGTTTTGTTGTGTTTCAATAGAATTTGATTTAATCTCTAATCTAACCTAACTGTTGGGACACTTGATACGGCACGACAATTTAATGAATATAATTATTAAAAAAAAGAGGGTAGGTAAGAGGAACACCAAGACACAGTTCATGTCAAGGAAATTAAGCAAAGTAGGAGTCGCATGGTATCAACATTTAAAAAATGATAGATCGTAAAAAATCGTTAAAAATCCACCGATAAGAGCATGGCTCTTAAATTATGAATGAATGAATAACCTAACCAAGCATTGTAGATAGTATCACATTAAAAAATACAGGGTATTTATTTATATATGTTGGTCTATAAACATAATTAAATTCAAATCAAATATTTTAAATTAGGAATATACCTACACCTAAAAAACCATTAATCTTATTTTATTTCCTATAGAGAATTTAGGTCTGCTCACCATACCTCTAATTTAAAATTATGACTTTAACGTTAAAAATATTGAGGTAAATCTCCCACAATTTACAATGTTTGAGTTAATGCAGTTTAGAAATAAGCGTAGGTACGATTTGTGTATAAATGTTATTTTATTAATACAAATGACGACGAAACTTAAATAATGTACAACAGATGTCAGTTTTATTAATTAAGAACGATATTCTTCTCTTCAAAATGATTTAAATGTGTACTATTAAAATAATGTGTAAAGAAATGAAAATGTATGAAACCATTGTTGTAAATAATATTCTGAACAAGATATTAGATTTGAGTGCGTTGTGCGACAAAAATAAATTAATGTTACTAGATTTAAGGATACAATTCATAATTAAAAACTTCCAATTGCTCTACCCGCATAAATTTGTTAAGTACAGCTTCTTGTATGTAATTTGTTTGCAGTGTATATTCATATACATGCATGAATTCACCCATGCAATCCAGAAATTATGCCTCCATACATAAACAAACAAATGGTAACTAGGTACTTGCCTTGTAAATATAGTGTGTGCATCTATGATAAAATTAAGTACATCGCGAGACGTATGAGACATACCTATTTAAGCTTATTATAAAAACTTATAATAAAATATTGACAAAAACAAACTATAAGTTTTATTGCTACCTAATACCTTGCTAAATATTATATAGTGCAGGGAGAAGCATCAGGCCACATTTATTCATTAAATTATCACTAATTAAGTATAAAATATACTTAAGATTTATAGAGCACAGTGGCAATTAAGCAGATGGCCTATCTGAAATTAATCAGTTACCGCAACCTATATGCCTGACCTGAACCATTATACTAGTATCTTCTTCGTGTTATTGACCCGTAATAATAAATCTTGATATAAAAAACCCATTCTGTAGACTCTAGAAGCAGATAGTTCATTCCACAATTTGAGTGTGCGTAGAAAGAAACTCCTTTCAAACTATACCGTCCACGATAGAGGTGGGCGTAGAATGAACGCACCGTTTCATTAAATTGTATTTTGTGCTTGATTAATTAAACTATAGTTCACAGATAAACTAGTTTATTCGTCAACTTGTTAATGAATTCGTTGCGTTGCATACCGATCGTCTCGTCTCATCTAATGAGCCGATCGAGGCTGTTGCTTCGACATTGTCAATTGATAAACGATATTTTCGTTCATCTACGTTTACGTTATCGTAAATATCGTTTATCGAAAGACTATTTCTTCACTTATGTGAGGAAATATCCTCATATAAGTTAAGAAATAGTATTTTCGACGACGTTGTAAACTACTCGAAAATATGACTTTTTTAAACTAGTTGTAATTGTAAAATCGGCGACGATCCATCACTAGTCCACGATCTTCGAGTCGCGTCGTAACACGAATAATTTTATTGTTTTAAGACCAGATTAACTTACTAATAATGTATGGTATGGACATGTAATGTGTAGGAATGAGGATAATATTTTAAGAAAGGTGTTACATATGAATGTGGATGGTTATACGGGCAGAGGAAGGCCGAAAAAGATATGGATGGACAGTGTGAAAGATGATATGGTAAGAAAGGAAGTAAATAACGCGAGGACTGCGAACAGGGATGAATGGAAGCGAAAAAAATATTACGCCGACCCCTACTACCTTACTAATAATATGTAGGAAAAATAACTACTTGCCAAGCCTAACCCAAAACTTGACAAATAATATAAAATTTTAATGCAATTAAAAACGTATAAAATTATTTATTTAATATCAGTATAAGTGAAAATCTTAAAAATATGATAATTTCCTACCAAAGGAGTTGGAAGAGCAAATATTTCTTATCTTTACTAGGAATCACGTACAAGTGGGAACACTACCAGTGTTACCATGACGGGTTACCAAGTTGTCAATGTCATGTCGTATGACATGTTTATCCATCAAATTTCTGATCTCGATCTGATTTGTTTTGTTTATTCCCAATCTTCTTTTATTTCAATATTTTTTTAGTTTATTTCAACATTATAATAATTTTTTCTCATTATTTGATATTTTAAGTAATTACTGCAGAAATAAATTTCTATGCAATAATGAATAGTTGCATACAATGCGGAGGAATTCCTAAATACAAATGTCCCACATGTCTCCAACCTTAGTAAGTGAAATTATTAGGCCCATATTATACATAAGTATCAATTAATTGCTTAGCTTACTTAATACGTATCTGAGTTTAAATTAATTATTATTTTATATATATAATATACTAGCAATTCTATTATTTGACTATTTAAATATTCAAAGAATAGAGTAGTAGATGCTAGAACATTTTCCACTTTCAGTTTTTAGGTTTTGGTATCCTTATGTAAGTACTTATACAAATTAAACACTTATTTTTATGCATATCAAGAAAAACCCAAGATATATTACTTTATCTTAGTATTTAATAATGTATTTGATGTTATTAACTTATATTTTATGTATGTTATTGTAGTTGCTCAGTATTGTGTTGCAAAGAACATAAAGAAAGACCTTGTTCAGCTCCATCTAAACCTGAAGTTAATGCTCTTAAAGAAACAAGCATAAATTATGAATTTCCTACAGAGGATACTGTTCCACCAGAAAAATTAGAACTGTTGAGTAAGTATTAGTTAAGGATATAAAAAAAATATGGTAACAAATCCACTAAATTTACTTTTATACTATTTATTTATATTATCTTGGTAAAGCAGACACATATATGGTTTGTTTGTACCAATCCAACAGCTAGACCTTGAATGAATGTATCATAACAGCAGGATTTAACCTTTTATTATGAGGATGACTAGGGTCAGGATTGGTATGCGGTTTTATTTCGAGTACTAATTTATTTATTCTTTGTTACCTTACTCATCTTTATTTGATGTGAAAATAGTGGATACAATTTCATAAAATGACCTAAGGTACGGTTCACCATTATAGAGTTATGATAATAAAAACAGATTTAAGATTATCATATTAAAGATGTTCTGCAAAGGTGTACTGTACAGATTAAGATTAGGCACAATACAAAATATTGTACCTAATTTTAATCACCATACTTGGGAAACATGGGTATAGACTAATAAATAATATTATGAATATTAATAATACTGTGATTTTTTTCCAGAAGAGTCTACAGAATTAAAAAAATGTTTAGAAAATCCACATGTTAGAACAATATTAGAACTACTGGATAAATCACCCCATCCAGATGAATTAATTCAAAAATATATGCAAGAACCAATATTTACTGAATTTGTGGATGCATGCTTGAATGTTGTAGAGCCTGAAGAGACTGTTGACAAATTATGACATAAGAGTATTGTTTTTATATCAGAATAAATCTTGTTTTATATTGTTAAATCATTTAAAATTAATACAATACTACTTGCAATTTTATTTCTATAATTCTACATCTGATATAATAACTACCTTTATAAAAAAACAACAGGTACCTTTTGCTATATGAATGACTGGTGATAATTTATTTATTAATTTAATTAACAATGCACATTGTGTGGAAATTAATAGTAGAATTTATAAATATAACTTAATATATATATAAATATACAATACATGTACCATATTATATGTACTAATAATTGTTCAAATATAGAAGTAAATGTATAGTTTATATATCTACTGCATCTATTTCTGTAATTCCTTACTTACAAAAAAAATATATAATGCGAGATACATAGATTATATATTTACTATGGAGACGCGACATAAAATAGATATGGTGAGTTGCAGAATTATATTCTGAAATAATCCGCTATCACTTGAGTGTCTTTTAGCCGTGTCAAGACTCGCGGGCTACTCTGGCCTCCCAATATATTCAAACTACAATATTAAAAATTGGTTGATATAATACTGTAATAAAGCAAATAAGCTTGTTGCATTAATGTCAATAAAACTCAAGGAGATTTGTGTATTATATAGAGTATATACGGGCCGGGGCCGTATTTATTAATTGTTAGTTTGGATTGAAACCAAATTAAATATAACAGAGAAACCATCCCAGTTCTTGTCTAATTCTGCGCTTTAAAGATAGGTAGATGAAACTATTCCTCGTTAAATTATCGAAATGATGGAGAAAGTTGATGATTGACAAATAACTAGTTTTCATAAAAATATTTAATAAGTACAAAATTCTTAATTTATTATTATTCCATATGAAATTATTGAAGTTATCAAATATACATAAAAAAATATCTCACTACACTTGGGCAAGCGCAATTGTTAACAGATTTTCTAATTCCATAGATTTCTTTTTCTCTTCTTCAATGCGCCTTTCTAACTGTTTGACAGCGTCTTCACAATTATTATATTTCATTATATTTTCTTCGTTTATTTTTATATTTTCCTCAACCAATGTGGCATCTTTATCTTCCAACTTTAGATACTCCATCGAATCTAAAGCTATTTTACGCCGTTTTGATTCGATAAAGAAATCTAAGTCATCTTCATAGTCAATAGCCTTATGTTTCATTTTACTTAAAACACCAATTTCATACAACCAATGAATATTGCGATACTCTTCTAATACTGACTTTTCATAAACTGCAAATGTGTTGCAAAACTTATTTAATCTATTTATTTTTTCATATACTATCACATTTAAAATGTCTACCAGTTCGTAGTGGGAAAAATATTGACTAAACTCTTCCCTAGGCATACTCAAATCTGAAAATTCATTTGGCAAAACTGCAACAACTTTACATACAACTTGTTCAGGATTTTCAAAGCAGCCGATTTGATTGCAATATTTTCTAATTTGCTGTTGCATATTTGGTACATTTAAAGGATTAAATCCTGAGTTCGGAAGTGGCAATTTTAGTTGTTTCATAAAATCTCTAATTGTCGATACATTTTCTGCAGTTTTTGCATTGCTTGGGATGAATTCATAAGATTTCGGATAAGGCAGAGGACCTTCCAAGTACTTTTTAAATTCCAAAGGGAATGAAGGATAATTAAATAAGTCTTCATTGGTAATAACATCTGTTAATTTGTCTACAGCAACATTGTAACATTCAATGAGCCTTTGTAAATCTTTCAACACAATAGTCATGCGACTATCGCTTTCCGATTTTAATCTATACCACAGTTCATTTCCAAGATATCTTTCACATATGGATTTAAGAAAGTCAATCTCGATCATGGGATTTTGTGGACATTTCTTTGCCATCCATTTTAAAGAACTTTTAGTACAAACATTTATAGATTCAAAAACATTTTGGTTATCAACTATATAAATTTTGAATGCCGATATGACTCTGCTATTTTGGTAGCTCGTAAGTAAATCTTCTATAGCTTTATGAAATTCGTCGTTCACTTTTGGCAATATTACGGTAACAGGAATCACTTGATATGGATATTTATGTTTTAATGTCTCTTGTATTATTTCTGAAAATCTAGTTTCCGATTCAGAAAAGTAAAATAATAAACCATTAGTGCCTTCTATGCCTTCACTACAATGATATCTCTCGTTATTTATTAAACTAACTGATATAGCAAAATCCATTAAATTATTCCATGACTGTTTCTTAACATGTATTAAAGTATCGGAAATTTCATGATTCATTTTATCGCTAAAAGCGTCCAGTACAAATTTATCGATATCAATTTTTCTACACAACCACTTGTTGGGTGTTGGTGTTATGATCGTAACTTTCCAGAAAAAACATTTATCATATGGATAGCTAATTTGTTTCATCCGCTTTAATAAAGGAGATTTAATTATTTCCATTATGTTATATGACTCAGGTACTGGTGGTACATTAAGTTCACCACAAAATCTGTATCCCCTATGAATTGCATTCATATATTTCAGAGTAGCATTTTCAACACTACGTCTCAAATGGGATGCCATTTCATGAGGTGTATTTTCAACCAACCATACTGGCGTGTCTTCAAGTAAATGCCTTCTTTTTATATTCCTAACAATTCGTGTCCTCCATATATTGTACCATTTCCTCATTACTTTATCTGTTCGGAATTTTTCAGCAGTCATTTCTGATAGGCAAACTTCGTTACACAACTCATTGATTATTTCCTCTGTTACTATGTTTGCTTGTGACTTCAAGTGTTTCATTTTATCAAGTTCTTCTTTAATTAAAATTATAACACTTTCATCGTTAATTTCATCAAGAAGCTCTTCAATTAAGTCCATTGATTCTTTATTAACCTTTTCTTTAAATTTCTTTATTCTTTCTTCTTCCAAACGCTTTGATGCTTCTATTGAAGCTTTTCTTTCTTCTTCTAGTTTTTTCTTTAATTCTTCTTGCTTTATTTCCTCTTCTCTTTTTCGTTTTTCTTCCTGCTGTTTCCTATCTGCTTCTTTTTTCCGTTCCTCTTCTTTTCGCTTTTCTTGTTGAATCTTTTCTTCATTTTCTTTTCTAATTTTTTCTTGTAATTGCCTTTCCACTTTTTTAATATTTTCTTCAACTTTGAGATGTTCTTCCATTTTTTGCGACTCATCATACTGATTAAAATCGTAAACGTTATTCAATGTAGATGTATTCACAGATTTAAATATGTTAGCTGCAACAGAATTATCTTTATTTTTGCTTTGAAATATTGAGTATGCCTTGGGTTCTTCGCCGTTCAATGGTTTACTTTCAGTGCCTTCATTCAATGGTTTACATGCACTTTTGAATAAACTGCCCGGTGACATTTTGTTAAAAGCAATATCCGTTTTATTTTCACTGTTATAAGGTTTTGAAAAAATATTTGTTTTCGGATTCGATGAAATTGTTTTACCTAAATTACCAAATACATTTGATGGATTAAGTATATCATTCTTTTGTGCTGCAGCCGGTTTATTAAATATATTACCAATATTTCCAGATTTTACAGTACTATCAGGTTTAGCAAACATTAATTCATCTTTTCCTCTGGTAAATATATTTGCAATTCTTTTAGGTTGTAAATCAGATGAACCAAATACAGATTTGATTGAATCTGTTTTATCTGTTCCTGGTTTACTGAGCCAATTGTATGCCTGTTTATTTGAATTTTTATCCAATTTGGGACGTAAGGGCTCTTGAGGTGGAGAAAATACGAATTTACTTTTATCACTACTTACAATATCTGACTTTATTGAGTTTCCAATACTTTCTAATGATGCGATTGGAATCGCTGGTTTGAATAAAAATACATTTTTACATAGATTATCCTCATTATCAGTAGTATCCTTACTACCAATATTATTATTAAGTATTATTTCTGGTTTAGTACTATTATCACATTTTTCTGATACTTTTTCTGAATATCCACGATAGTTTTGTGATAGTCTCTGAATTTCAGCTTTAAGAACTTGAACATCTTTATTGCTATCATTTACCGTGTTGTATTTATAATCCTCAGCAGTTAGGGCAGATTCTTTTAATTTACCATCGCTAGTGAAACTGGAATGAAGATTGTGTGTACCAAATTCGAATTGTGGTAACATTCCACCTGCTATTACCTCGCCAACTGAACGTTCCCGTTTGGACTCAATAAGATTTATAGCTCTTGATATAGGATAAGGTTCGCTGTCGTCTATGAATTGATTTCTATCCAGAATAACAGAAAGTTCATGCTCATCTTTGGCAAACCTTAAACCGTAATGATTGATAAAAGATTTCATATTTTCAACAGACTCGAAAGCCAGTGCGTCGATTAAATCTTGTGCAGGATAACGAGAGCCACCTCTAGGTGCATAGGCTTTTACTATTCTAGCAAGCGCCCGGGCTCGAACATCGTTAAAATACCGTAAAAGAATACAAGCTTGCAAATATGTCGCCTGCAGTCTTATAAGACGGAAAAACTTTACATAATTATTGTTATCTAAAGCATTGAATATTCTAATTGCAAATACAATGTCTTTAGATTTTTGTATTTCTTGTGGCAATTGCTTAATCTGAAATAGCAAAAAAAATATTGTCAACATTTATTGAAATTTAAAAAATAACTAACTACAATATTACATATTACATATTACATGAATATATTAGCAGCGCATTGTCTAATTGTAATACCATTGTGAACATATAAACTCAACGGAATCAATCTAAACATATATATTGCTATTCTAGAGAACAAAGTTGTCATATCTCATATCCTGTAATTTCTGTCCATTTCAAACCTTACAAAGCAAGCTGCTTAGCGTCTGATATTTGTGAAACTGAGGTACGCAGAAAACTTTTTACAATCTAGTTGCGAATATCTAATCTGTATCGTTACATGTATAAAAAAAATCACTTCCGCTATCTGTTCTCTTAGACCGTTTTATACTACGCAATGGTTTTATTGCAGGTTTTAGCAATATATAGACTGATTCAAGTGGAATGTTTATATGTATAATACATGTACACCCATGCAAGATAAGTACTAGCTACAGGGCATATAGCTACTATAATCTTATATATTTGTAAAATTCACTCTATTAATTATTAAAAAATTAAATCACTGTATAATATAATTATAACATGACATTGCAGCCACTCACTTCTCTGCTTAAGAAATACTGTCATATTCCTATATTTCGTTGTTTTGTTGTATGAAAATACTTACCTCCCACCAAAAATTTGCATCTCCGAGATTGAGCAAAGCTATGTATCCTCTGAATTCCGCTTCTCTCGGCTTTTGCTCAGGTCCAACGTCAGTGTACATGTGCTTAAGGGTTTGTAGGCACTTGGTAAGGTTATCTGTGTTCAACTTTTGGTCAAATTGAGTGTGTTCCAAGTCAGCGAGGCGAGCCCCACAATGAGCATGAAAACGGGCGCACATTTCTACTAACTGTATTGAGTCTGTAAATAGAAAATTTTTGAGTACACATATGTCCTATATACATATTAACTAGTGATATTTAAATAATTATTATGATAGTATTTCAAATAAGTCAACAACCTCGGGAGTAATAAATAAAATATCTAATTGTCATTTAATAATGAATGAACACTTACCTGAACAACACAAAGCCTGTTGTGTTATATCTTTTCGAATACCACGAAATCGATCCCACATAAAATGGAACCAATCAGCCAATGTAACCTAAAATTATATTTTTTTATATATATTCATTACAATAGTTACACAACTATAGTGGCCGGCGAACCAAAAACAGGTGTAGGTGACCAATTTCCTCCTCGTCTAAACTTTTAAGAGGTTATGAACCTTAATGAAAGTCAGCTGTGGTTCCGAGGGTGGATTGGGAAATAGGACCATTCGAAACATAAAAAAATAGACATTTCCTCCCAGTTACAATTGCTAACTATGATTTGATAGTAATTTGAACTGGGAGGAAATGGTTGATTTTATTTACATTAATACCATTCCTATTCACTGGGTTTAGGCAACTACCTTAATCACTTTAAAATATTGAACCGGGAGGAAATAATTGACGAAAAATCGCAGATGTTTTTAGTTATGAGAATATAATAAAAATTAAATGTATAGTTACTTGACGTTTGGTATCAGCTACTTCATGCAACAGGTATGCACAAGTGCGCATGAGTACAGGGGCAGGTCGCAGTTCATAACACATTGGTATTTCCTGGTCGGCGGAACTTCGGCTGTACTCTTTCACAGCACGTAGTGGTTCCAGCTGTCCATCAGAGCCAGGCACCGACTCTAGGGTCATTACCTGCACAATTATATCACATCTAGAAATTATTATAGTAATTTAAAAAAAATGTTCAATAGACCTATTTCAAATGTTGAACTGAATAGTCATTTTCTGTCAAAATATATTTTCTATAATAATTATTAATATTATAGTGATAATAATTTTATTTGTAAACAATTTGAGTATGATACTAAGAAATATAGAATAGATGTTGTGAAATACAGGCACTTACAAGATTTAAAGGAAATTCATGCAAGTATCTGTGTTGCACCTGCCTGTGCTAAAGGTATATGCTGGCGGTGCAACAACAAAGCTTGACATGATAAGCATGATGTCAGATTGATTAGCTCATTATGGGGATTTGATCAGAAATTAACCGAGAAAGTTTCTGAGAGCCTTATGGAGGTTGACCTGACATGGTAAAATCCTTACAATAAATGTCACTAATCCTCATTACTAACAATAATCTCCTCCCCCATACACAGTTTATGTGGCATTTTAAGCTGTATTTTCATACAGCTAGTATATGTAGTAGAATTTATAGCTGCATGAGGTCAGGATAACTCCTCAAGAACAATCATCAAATTATATTGTGCACACCTGATGCTCGGCTTGCCTGTGTAGCAATTCTTTCTCAGGACACATATCTGGACATGTTCCAATGGTAGCACCTCCAACTTTGACGCGCGAGCCTGCACCTCCCCATGCTCTTAAAATCCTGTAATAAACAGTATGGGTAAGTTAATTATATTACTCAAACTCTAAAGCATTTATTCCTGTAGCACAGTTTAGTTATTTATGTATTGTATTGTAGTTTTTTTTAATTATTGCATTACAGTTGAATATCCATTGAAACTATATGAAATGGGCTTTATCATTATTTATAACTATTCTCTTTTTAAAGTCAATCCATTAATATTTCATTATCGTTTATGTGTATATATGTAGAAAATTATCTAGAGAATCCTTAAAATTTGGTTGTTACAGTAAAATTGTAATTAAAAACAGTATGTGTATAGTATTATAATTATTAAAGTTGTATAATATTACTAACTATTACAAATAGATAAACCTTATATTTACCTGTCTCTAGCATCCAATATTCTCCACTGTTCATCAGGAGTAGAAGCTATTTTAGACCGAAGCTGATACAACTCAGCCGCTGCATCTATTGTGCTCATGCTTGTCTGTGTCGCTGGCACCAACACTGGTGACTCCACACCACTGACTACTGTCTGTGTACTGAAGACACAAATTTGAGTTTAGTTTTGTATGCACACAATCACTAATAACATAAATAGTTATAGTCATTTAAAGGGTTGATAATGGAATGGTTCACTTGCATTTGATAAGTACACTCAAATTTGGTAAGTGCAGTTGTATGACTTTCTTTTAACATAAAAAAATAATGTAATTACTGTGATAAAGAAACTGACACAGTAAAATTACAAGATATGGACGTGTGACATTTTAATCCCCCGGCCACATTATGGTAGGTGGTAACCATTGCCATGTACATAAACAGAACTAAAGACATCACATTATCATGTTACATATGCAGCATGAGATTTATGTTATGCCTCCTAGTCTGTAATATTACTGCCTGATTACACAGTGAAATTACAGGGTGCGATTGCACCCTTCAAGAAAACAGCTTAAAATCCAGACAACTTTTTACAAAGTTTAACTCAGTAAAAATCTGCATCAAATTAGGACTTTGAGTAAACTTTAATTTATATGATGAGTGTAATGTAATGGTTCTGATATACCTGAGAAATTATTGATTATATCTATACAAATGATCTGACGCCCTGTTCCACATATTTTTTGGGATAAAACTTATGTTTGTATAACTCCCTACATACAGATATCCATCCTCAATATAGCTGATATAACCTATCTTAGTGTAAAATTTCATTAAGTTCTGTTAACCATGAAAAGGTAACCAAGAGACAGATATATGCTCATCTTTTCTTATAATATTCGTATGTAATATGAATAATTCAATATTTACTTACACTGGAGGTTTTTCTCTAACTGGTATTATCTTTCTTACAGTTGCAAATTTTGCTGGTACTGGGTTTATTTTTATAGTAGCTCGTTTAGGTTTTATTACTTGACTTTCTACTTCCATAACTAAAACAATATTTGTGTTTATAATTACTTTCATGTTAAGAAGAATAATGTATGTGTATATATTAACAATATCAACATTATGATATCACTAACACATTTTGTGTTAAACTTTGTTACACTTTATTAGATTGTTTCTCAGTAAAGTGTTGGAATGCAATATTCAAAATTTAGTGAGTCTTCTTTGTTATTGTGTCTAAATATTTGTTTGCAAGTTTGGTAGCAAGTCTCATAATACAAGAGGTACTAGTTTTAGAATCATAATCAAGACCAACCAATTCATTACATGTAACATGTATATATATGAACATCTCATTATTATTCAGGTTGTCTAAGGTGTTATGCCTTTATATATCGCTGCCATAATTCTTTATTTGATTATTGTAATAGATATAAAGCATATAATATCTACGTAGGTACAAGGAAATCTTATCTTTACTTATTTTAAATTATTATTTTCATTACTCACATTAAAACATTAGGTATAATAGTAAATTATATGATAAAACAGACCAAATTCACTAAAATATCAGACTACACTGTCAGTTACAAGAAAATAAAATCAAATAATTAAAACATATTAAATGGAGAGGCAAATAAGAATTCGAGAATTAAATATATGCTTACGTTTTTGTCTAGGGACTCTGTAAACTGGAGCTCCCCCCATGGCAGCCAATTCCTCTTCCACATCAGAATCAGGCAACCAATCAGGGTCATCATCCTTCTTACTTTTACGTCTTCTGCAGATTAAAAAGCAAATAAACTACCTTCATTAACCTAATTTAATTTAATCATTTTCACAATGCAATATAATCCTAATTGAACAGGATTGAGAACTTATATTACAGTATACAAAAGGAATAATGAAATTTGGAATATTTGAAGCTAGCTTAATAATGAAAGCTTTAGATTTCTAAAACTTTAATATGTTAGAGATATTAAATAAAAACTTACACTCTAGCCTTAGTTCGTGTCACATCAAACATGTGGCCATCATATGCACCTGCATTAAGCAAAGCCCGTTCTGTGGAGATTGGCTGATCATATTCTATAATACACATCTGTTTCTTTGGGAATAAACGTATCTTTTGAACGCGACCAAATTTGCTAAAATGTTTTTTTGCCGCTGTAGCATCAAAAAGGCCATCTGGTACAACCGTACAGCTAAAATTAATGAAATTAATAAAATACAAGAGGGAATATAAGTACTGATAGTGACAGAAAATTTACTTACGTTACAGAAGTTTTGGCGTTCATTAATGTCCCTATTATTGGGCTTTTGATTTTTTTTGTTGGGCTTGGAGGATCCATTGCTAAGCTGGCATTAGCATTACGGCATTATTAAAGTAATTAAAACCACTCTTCAGTAAAAAAGATACAAGAATATACAATGTGACGTTTATTTACTTGATACTTCAACACTTTTAACCTTGCAAAATATAGAGTGAATTGTAATTAAAATATTAGACACAGATTATTAATTAAAACTATAAAAAGCTAATTTAAAATAAGAATTTTTTAATGAAATTGGAATAACCTTTAAATTTAAAGAAAAATAAAATTTCCAAACGGTTTTAAAGGGTAAGCACGCAATAGTTTGTATTTTTGATTGACATGAATTGACAGCACAGTCTGAGGCATACTACAGAGTACTTTGTGGAAATAATTGACAGAGACAATCAACTACAGATGACTTAATTTCTATTTTACTTCAAACTCGGCGTCGATAAATTCATATTTAATATTACTGCATTAATCTCTAATAAAAACAGATAAAACTTTTCATTCTAAAATTGCTTAATTTCTTTGGTCATAAAGTTGTTGATAGTTTCACATAAAAATATTTTTAAATATATAAAATTAATTAAAATCTACCTCTATCTCAAAAATATTTTAAATAGAGGATTATTCTTCGTATCTTCCAAAAATTAGTTGTTTTCCTAAATATCAACCTCGAATTTATTTTCTCCCTAAACCCAGGATAAAAAAACTCCGAACTGATGACCACATTGAAGTTTTGACACTTTACGATGTCAATCTTGTCATTCTTTATTATTTCACATTTAGCTGTATTGACATTGTTCCTTCTGCCATTCCGAAAAAATAAAGGGTACAAAAATAAATGAATAAATTCACTTTTTATTAATATAGGTAAAATATAATAACTCGATTAACTACATCATTCTTCTGAGAAACAGATTGGTAAAATTTTGATACAAGTAACTGGCATTTATAATTCGGTTCTATAAGACTTTGCACACATACTAGTACCTAACGCAACGTTTACTCAATAAATATATTTACTGGCATATCGTTTGATTTATTTTGGGGCCAGTTAATATTTTAATAAAAAGATAACATTTTCAGTGTTTAAAGCAAAAAAAGCTAAGACGATACTATTCCCATATCTCAATACCATACACCTTGTTTAAAGGAATGCTTATACGAACACCATTGCTAGCAATTACCATAGCAGGCCCGCCCTGGAATCCACTGCAGTCAATTCTTATGAGCTATTTAAATTGACTTCCTACGCATCCTATCATCCATAGGTTGCGTAAACAAACTATATTTAAATAATTAAAGATAGTAACGATTTCTTCATAAAAAAGGTTTTAAAGAATTTTGCCACAAATTCCCATGACCATCTACCCAGTTGGCTATCCGTGAGCGAAGCTACGGGGGGCAACCAGTTTAAAATAGAACCCTACATTATATGTATACCTACACTAACAAGTCGATCAGCCACTTTCGTTCATGTTGAAATGCTTTTATTGAATCACAAATAATCTTTCTGCTTGTACTTATTACTACTTCCGTCTATATCGGGTCTACGGCAGGCATGCTTATTACATTATATAACTAAATGCTTATAAATAACTTCCTTACGACATTTGTACATAGGTCTAACTAGTACCTTTGAGTAGCAATTTTTCGGGGTATATAATAAAAAATAAATTATTAGTGGTTGGTTGCTAATTTTTGCTATACAAAACTATTGAAAATATAAGTTACTGTCATATAAGAGTTATTAAAATCGGCAAAAGTAGTTAGTTTCTGAGTTTATCTACTACAAAAAAAAATCAAATCTATTATCTTCATTATTATTATTTTCGTTTTCTTATATTAATAACACATAACTTCCTAGAGAATAGAAGAATTGCGACTTTGAAGTGGCAATGGGCAGGGCACATAGCTCGTAGGACAGATGGCCGTTGGGGCAGTAAAGTCCTCGAGTGGCGACCACGGACCGGAAGACGCAGCGTGGGAAGGCCTCCAGCAAGGTAGACCGACGATCTGGTCAAGATCGCTGGAAGGCATTGGATGCGAGCAGCGCAGGACCGATCGTCGCGGAGATCTTTGGGGGAGGCCTATGTCCAGCAGTGGACGTCTTCCGGGCTGCCATGATGATGATGATGATGATAACTTCCTATGCAACGGGGAGAAGGGATTGTTAGGTCGACTTACACGCGGTCTCCCTTGTATTAACTAACCTGACTTAATAGTCCTATCATTCTCCACTGATGCTCCGTCGGTGAATATCGCAAACGTTTACACAGTTCCATTAACATTCATAAACTTTAACCTATGCACAATATCTTGACTAAACTTTTTCTACGAGTTGATTTAAATTTAAAAAGTGAATGACGTCGGTTTAGGCGGCAATGTTCGATGATGTAACCTCGCATACCGCCGCACAAGACCTGTCAGTTCCGGTCACCGGTATTGCCGGATGCCGGATGTACCGGTCACTTTCTAAGAATCGGACATTCATCTAATTTTGGTTCAGTCGTTCAGAATAGGCTAATAATTTTGCACTTCACACTATAAAAATAATTAATAGTAATAGTAGATAGATTACGTATTAGCGAAATACTAAAGATACTCCATAAGCTGACAGGCCAACTGATCATCTAAATCTATCTTATGTGATACATGACACACACACTCCTACTGTCTATTCATATCTTCACGTCAAATCCCTTGTGGTGTATGCATAATGAAACAAATGCCATTAGCTTTTATCTTTCCACTCATTAGGGCCGTCTATTTTCATAGATTTCTAACAGATATAATTTGAAAAAATAAAACTTAAAAAAACGGATAGATGATGAATATGTTGGCATGGTGATAATGACAATTAGTAAGTTTGCTGTTTTTGGAAAGGTAGGTAGATTTAAGATCATAATACAAATATTAAATCATTTAAGAGGTAACAAATTTTCAATAAGGCACTGCTCACTGTAGTAGTGAAGGCACTCCCATATTAGCCTGTTATGCTCGGTCACATCGGCGACATATTTTATAGAGTTTAGAGCCATATGTATGATAATCTTGGAATAAGAGCTGCCCAATGTTGCGGTGAATCATCTCGTGACGTCATCAGTATAAATTCGGGTGTCACATTCCGATCGGCGCACGCGCAAGGCAGTTATATAAAAGAAAGTGGCGCGGCCGCGCGACGACCTTGCTCGGTGAAAGGCGTGGCACAAGTAGAACAGCCGGAACTGACTCTTCCCACGGACCGATCCCGCGCCTCTCGAACACTAAGCCGTTATGCGCCCGCGCAACTTTCGGTAACCGGTTTGATCTATTGGCGAAAAATGCACTGCCGGCCGCTTTGAATCACAGCAATTTTGATTCAATGAAGACATGAGAAGACGAACTTGTGTTCACACCTACGTCAGGTAAAAACTAGTTTTTTAAAGCCAAAGGCGTAATGTAACCTACCATTTGTTGTTTCGTGAATGAATCGATACATTATTTGATGATAATGTATAAAAAATGCCTCTCTATTTTATATATTCAAACAATTGTTTGGATTGGGATGGACTAAGAAAGTAGAATTATAGCACTTTTTTCATAACATATATTATAATATATACCTGTTACATATATTTTTTAGATTTATTTTCAGCTTTATAGGGCAGACCCCATCATTAAATAAGCCTAACCGAGTTAAAAATGATGTAAGATACAGAACTACTAAAAGCCAATTGACAAATTGGGCTTTATAATTTTTATTCTATATAGAGATTTTTAAACATTTTTAATACGTTTCCACATGACTTTGAGACATTTGAGTTGAACTTACATTATGTGTACTAGAAAACGGATACTAATATGTACTACAAATAAGATAATGTTACATCTTATATTTAAATACATACACATAAAATACCCAGACAAATATTTGTATTCTGTGAGGAAACGAACCTGTTACCATTAGAAATAAGCTTGAATTCTTCAAGTTGTCACTTTTTCGATTTGCTAAAACCCTGCGAAAAATACACATGCCGTAGATCGCAATACGTGGTTTCTTTAATAGTCGTATGAGGCATATAAGGCTATAAGAAACTAAGTTCACAGGTGGGTGTATTTATTAACTTTCCTCATCAGGTAAGCAAACATATTCAAAGGAATGTGTCCGGACCGCAGTCTATGGCCGTAAACACCTTGTTGTTGTACCTCAACGTGTATAAAATTAGATATAAACGCATTATATGTTTTATTACATGTAGGTATATTGTGTTTAGGAGCAAGATACGAGTTTAACTATTTCACTAAAATATATTCCTTTTTATTTCCAGTTCCATTATAATTTGGGAAGTGTTTTAAAAATTGACTAAATGAATTGAAAATCATTTTTTTTTTCAATTACCTTAGATAAGTAGCAATATTAGACAATTAATATGAGCATATCATATGCTTATATTAATTGACTAATATTGATAATAAGCGGTACCACCTGAATGGTAAATAGTATCCGTCCCCTATATACATGAAAATTGAAAAGAATCATGGACATCGTATGACACCCGTGATACCACTTATGCGTTACCATTCCGGAAGGCCAAGATATCTCACTGTCTAGTGTCATCATGCAAGAAAAACTTTTAACAAAGTATATCTCAGTAAAGATAAACTTTTATAATCATTATAATTTAAATATATATACGTTTATTAAGATATCATTATTATTACATTATTAAAAAAATACAATATCTCTTCCACAATGTATTTATTATATTCATTATTTACTAGTAATCACACTAAAAAAATGTGGGGATTGTCAAGAATAAGTACCATTGTTACAAACGAATAAGAATACTATAATGATGGTGTGTAAATCTGATTTTACTATGTCATTGTGCTAAACATAGAAAATACAAGTGTAAATAAAACATCTACTCTACGCTAGATATTGATCTATCCTTACTAAACGTGAAAATAACTCTGTCTGCCTGTCTCGCTTTACCGCTAACTACTGATCCGATTTAAATGAAATTTATTACACGAATAGTTTAGACTTTTAATATGGACATAAGCTTTTAATGCGAAAAAGGATTGTAAGGGGTAGAAAAGGTAGATGAAAGATATGGAATTTCGGCATTTTTAAAGCTAGAAGTTTGAACCATAATTTTTTGACTGTGGATTGATATAAATAGATAATAAAGTGTTGTAAGGGGTTGAAACAAGAGGTGAAAGGTTCTATCAGTATCGTCATTATGAAATCTAAAAGCCTGAAATCTATTTTTTAAGATGTTAATTAGGTAAATATAAAAATTATTAATATAATATATTTTTTCTTT